GTGAGGTTGTAGAAACTTCTGTCTCCATTGTACGAAATGGTTTGACCCTGTTCCTGGCTCCATGTATTCAAGTTTGTTGCCCACAGAGGTGTGGTTCGGGGGTTGTTATTCGGGGCTTAACCTACTTAAGGTAGGTTGTTGACTTCTGGCTCGGAGTCAGATTTGAAAAGCCTTCTGCTTGATGATCATCCAAAGGGATTTGATGCTCATCACAGACTCTGCTTCAAGCCATCCAGCATTGCCGTTGGGTGGAAAGTATGGGTCGTCATGATGATAGAATCCAGCCATGATATCTATGCGAGAAAAGGGGTAAGGAAATTAATTAATAGATGAACTAACTAGATAATTATAAGGTGATCTTTATCAGTTACTCCAATACTTGTATAGGTATACCAGTTATACGTATTCCGAAACATGATAGACCTTCGACTAAGTGATCCTAACCCTAAGCCCACAACCCAACGAGGATAGGAAATAAAGCAAAGATTCATAGATTCTTAGTCTATGACACCCTAGGTACATATAACCTTAGTGTATCCACTGGACAACCATTGACATACTAATAAAGACCTTTAGTTCTCAGATAAGTAATTATAGTAACACAAAATATTCCTATAGTATTTTAAGTTTAATGTTATGCTCTACTCTTCTTGTTGTGGTAGTGTTGGTAAGTTTTTAGACTTGTTGCAACTTCACAACCATCCTTAGGCACATACTAGTCACTCCGTGGATAATGTAGTTGATCAGGCTACATCTTCCCAGGGTTGACCATATGTCTCTAAGTCTACTTGTGTTGTCCAACAATCGTAATACTTTTGTGTTGTCCTAGTGACACTGATTTTAGTATGAATGCAAGTATGTATACTTAGTTAAATATTTTATTATTTAAAAGTATAAACTCTTTATCAGAGTATTTTAATCCCGCTTGTGTTTATAGTTCGTATAACTTTTATGGGTTGATACACTCAATTCACTATAAACAATGCTCTGATACCAATCTGTCACACCCTAAAACCTAAACGGCAGAATCGTTCGGGGTGGAGGACGTCATGTACAATATCACAACAATGAATAGTAGTGTAAACAAGCAACAACATCATCTATTGCATTAATAATATAATTTCATACATGTGTGTTCTGTCAAAGTTATAGACACCAAAATATACATATCAAAATAAAAGATGAGTCTTGAACGAACTCCATCTTCTCAAAAGCCCAACGCTTGTACCTATCTAGTGGTGACCTAAGAATACAAGTTATTTTGAAAGCGAGTATCAGCTTAATGCTGGTGAGATCATAAGTATATTATTGTCTGTGTTTGTATGAAAGCATTTGTAAGATGTTTGTAAGTTGTAATGTATAAGTTTTGTAAAGTTTGTATTTGTTTGAACTATCCTAGAAAACCTTATGTTTCCTACTAAAAGTAGCCTTCTACCAAGGCATCTAGTAACTGTGTGTGTTTCTTGTAAGAGTGTGTATTTTCCCAAATCCGACTATCATTAACCAAAAATATAGTTTTTACATTACCGTGCATCGTGTGAATGTTCACGAAGTGAATGTAATAGGAAAAATATTATAGTACTGTAGTGTTGTATTAAGTAACTACTGCTGTACTAACTACCTTAAAACAATTGTTATTTAAAGTACCATGTGATAGGCATGTACCCTGTTACCGACTCAATAGTAAAACGACGATGTAAGACGCCGTAAGAAATGACATTTGGCACCCGTAGACTTGCAAGTCCCACTGTAGCGAGCAACAAGGTGTAGGATAGTCAATCCAGTATAGATCTATACGCAAACTCATACGCTCCCCAATTAAGGAGATTCTAGATACAAAAACGGTCATGGTAGGTAGTGTCATGACCCGTTTAATGGCTCACATAACTGAATGTAATGTATATGTAATGTATGTGCTAGCTGTATTGTGTGTTCTTTCTCTGTCTAGCCTGTATGTTTGTTTCTCATCACTATGTATTATGTTTGTTTCTCATCACTATGTATTAAGTTTGTTTCTCATCACTCTGTTCTATGTTTGTTTCTCATCACTATAAGTTATGACTCATGTATGAACTGACTCTTTGTATGATTCATTGTTCTAGTATTAGTATTAGTAAAACCCTAAACTACGCCTATTGTAGTTTACTAGTAATATAACTTGTACGTATGAACATGGGAGTATACCCTTGCTACCCAAGGGTACTGAATGAACTGGAAGAACCTTTATGACTATATATGTACACATGATATATAACTAATATTTAAACGACCTTCGGACGGGTACCCGATATCCCACCAGACCACATCTCAAGCGCGAAAAGGAAATAGGGCGGATAGGCCTTCCTAAGCCTTTTAAACATTGCTTATATAACTATACATACATAGACATGCAATTGATAATATAAACGTATAAAAGAAGTTTCATAAAAAATATTTGATATGTAAAAGAGTTTTTAAGACAATTTGAAGTAAAACAGTTTACTAAAACAGTTTGAAAGTAAGAGATTCACTTGTCGATAGTTATTAATCACATGTGATTGAGATAATAACTATCGTAACTTTACTTGTATTCCCCCTCACCTCATAAAAGTATTTATAAACATTTGAAAACATTTACAAGGTTAATTTAGGGGTATGAACTCACCTGTAGTGAGTGGATTGGATTGAAGTGTCGGATACGATGCTAGGTGACAAGTGGAGACTTGTACACACAACGAGCCTAGTTATCATATAATCAATATATATATAATATATATATATATAACTAATTAGGCACTTTATCTCTAGTAATATAAGTTAAGACACTCTAGAACATGGTAACACTTTGATTTAAGTGTTTAAAGATCACAAGGGTTGCATCTAAGTGTTTGTAGGGCAAAGCTAGAGTGTTTGGGGTTTAAGGGTAAACTCCTTTGGAGTTTACGGTTTTCATGACCATTACCCAAGGATTTTACGGCAGTAAACTCAAGGGTTTACGGTCGTAAACTCTACACTTTATGACCATATGTTGTTTTGAGGTTTTACAAGTCCTTTGAAGCATTTCTACTTGGTGGTTAGGCCTTTGGAAGGATCTAGGGCACCATTTCACTCCTAAATCGAGTTTACGGTCCCTTTACCATTTTCCTTTGAGTTTACTACCTTAAACTCATAAGTTTATGGTATTTGGGGGTTTTCAAGTCCTTAGCTCAATCATGGCAATAGTCTAGGTTAGATTTTCGACATAAGGAATAAATATGGGACTTTTATACACATTTTGGGGTGTTTACGGTTTTGGGAGATCCCCAAACCGTAAACACATACCAAATGTAAGGTTTTGGTGCTTTTTGTGTGATAAACTCATCAAGGATGAATCTAGACAAGTCCCTAAGTCATTGTGAAGCATCTAGGCACCCTAAGGCACCACTTTGCACTTTATTTGGTGTTTACGGTTTTGGGAGCCTCCCAAAACTGTGAACACCTTGTTCTTGGGACATTTCTTTGGTATTAATATGTATAGCAAGCTTTAAATGACTCATGGATTGAAGTACTTACTTTGTGGAAGCTTGTAATGAATTAAAAGTCCAAGAACACTAGTGTGTGTTCTTGGTGTTTTGGAAAACTAGTCAAAACACATAAATGGATGGATTAAAGGATGTATAATCACTAGATGTTATGTTATATCAACTAATCAAGTCGAGAAACACTTACGTTTTCGGGAAATCGGGTGAAAAGCGGGACGATAGTTGAGAGTGTTTTGAGTTTACTCTTTAGGGTGAAAATGAGAAATGAATAACTTTGAGGAGTAAACTCATGCTTAAGCATGAGTTTGTGGTTTTTGAAGTAAATTTCGGCCCAAACATAAAAGTTTGACCGAGAATTCCTTAACTACGCGGTACTTGCGGTTTTCAATTTCAAGACTCGAGACGACACATCCTTTCACTCGTTCGTTTAAAGATTAATTATTAAAATAATCAAGCGAACTTTAAATTTGCTAATAATAATTAAAAATGAAATTGACTTATAAATTGGAATGATTGACTTTAGGGTTTGACCGAATGAAAATATCGGGTTGTCACAATC